TTTGCTGGAAAAGGACACCATACACAAGGTAGATCAGCCGGCATTAAGTCCAGGCTTCTACTCAAATGTGTTCCTAGTACCAAATCTACAGGCGACTGGCGTCCAGTTCTGGATCTAGGCAGACTGAATCAGTACGTGCTCCTCATTCGGTTCCGCATGGGGACACCATTCAGCATTCTTCTCTCCATCTACCGCTTCGACTGGCTAGCCTCACTAGACTTAAGCGGGGCCTACCTGCACATACTGATGCACCCGGCGAGTTGCCATCTCCTTCAAGTCGCCATTTTTGATGCCATACTGGATTTGTGTGTTACATAATAGGCCAACATCATTTTTTATGCTTCTAATGTGTTCTTTGCCTTTGAAAACCTAGGGATAGACACCAAGATCATCAAATTTGAGTTTATAGTTACAGAGTTATGATAATTAAGATGTTTCAGCGGGCATCTTGGACGTCGTCTTGAAAAAAAAACTTTTCCGAGGGTCCTACTTTGGTAAACTTTTAGTAATAATAATAATAAACTTTATTGACATTGAATCCTTTATAGGATCTTGAGTTAAATTACAATAAAGTGTGAATGAAAGAAATAACAAGAAAGACAATAAAATAAAATAACATAAAAATAATGATAATAACAGAACAAAAAGGAAAAAAAAAAAACCTTGCAGATATGCCTTAATATTAATATTGTGGTTTATTTGGATGAGAATGTTATTTTCTTTAATTTTGAAACATTCATAAATGTATTTAGCTAGTTTTATAATTTTTTTATTTTCATTGTTGTTCATCATAGCTATCATTTTATCTTCATCTGTCGTGTTTGGAAGTGAAATTTTTGACTCAGTGTTTAGTTGGTTTTTTTCATTTTCATATAATTTATATAGTATGTTAAAAAGTACACTGAAACCTACCAGAATCAGTTGAGAAACCTTTTATAGCGATTTTTGGGGGGTTGAGGGGGTATTTTCCATATATGGACCTGACTATATGGCAGCATTATTATCACACGCACCTTGGCCACTACCCAGCCAATTTTGCTTATTCGTGGTAACGCAAGCCTGGCAAAAACAGAAATTACGTTCGTTTTCTCGGAAGCCCATTTATATTGTCAAGGCAGGGCCAGAGTCGGAAACAAATCCGCTGTGTTGAATTCGTGGTGTGATTCATACTGATTCCCATCTACAATCAACTCCCAATCAGAGTGGATAAACAGGGCGCGGCGCGGGTGGCAACTTCTTGTGCGTCGGTAACACTAATGGTTATTTTATGCATGTTGACTGAAACACGTAAAAAAACAAAATGGAAGTATGACACTCCCCGAAATATTCACACCTTGCATTGTTTGCAAAAAGGCATCTATGGTGAGGCAATTTATCTACACATCCCCCATTTTACTTGTGATACTACGAGTACAATTTCACACTTGCCTGGGGCAAGTGTTTATTGGAATTGTGCCTATGCTAATGAGTGCTGTTAATCACTTACATAGCCTATGTTTACAGAAACTCAGTTTATTTACAAGCTGATAACACTATAACCATAGGTAAAAGGTAAAAGACAGAAGGAGTTACAACTGGTCTAAGCCTATTGAATTTCCTTTGTTTCTAGTCAAGTTAATCCTGTTAATCTGTTTAAATGTCCTTTGATACCCATGATCATTTCCAACATTAGCGTTCAATGTCCTCGTAACCATGGAGGTAGAAAAGAGAAAGAATGAAGACGCTATTGTTTCCGCTGATTTCATGATGCTTTGGATTTGTTTACTCAGAACACATTGTAATTAGTTTGCAAACACGCTGTACAATGTCACAGTTAATCGGCTTACGTGTTTCGGCTGTATTCGGAAGCTTCACGAAGATTCTCAACGCACTGCACATGCCCAAACAGATAACAATAATACAAAATGCAGCGAAAGACGTACACTGAGTGTACTCAACGCCCGAAATCTATTACAACATCTGCACACCAATGAAAAATGACTCATCAAAACATCTTGTTATAATCTTATCATGTACCTTTAAATTTCACTGCGGAAATTTGCGGGATTTTTTTAATCAATGTCCAATGTTGGACGACTATTACGATAAAAAATATCAGAAAAGAAGTAATCACACATCTTGGTAGCGTCCGTATGCAGAATTTCCGGTACCTACAAGTGTGAAATGATCTTTGTGATCTGATAAAGGTCATTGCGCATGCACAATTCTTTTATTTATGGTTTGCGCATTCAATTTTATAGACGATGTTTAAACAGAATTTTTTTTTTCAGTTCTCTCGTTTTCTTGTGTAAATAAGCGGCTATCATCATGTAGATAAAACGACTTCTAAACAAAAACAATAAGTGGCTTAACCAGGGCGAAGACAAAGGATGTTTATAAGATTAACATGGGCTTAAATAGCGTCCTCACTCCTTCTCTTTTTCACTTTCATGTCGTAACCAAGGGCAGGTCTTTTTTTTCTCAATTGCTATGCAGGTTTTTCGAGAGTAAGAGTAATTTTACTTGCGTGATGCATCTAGAAAGAATGCCATTGTTATGACAATTCTATTCATGTTGGAATTTTTAAATTGGCCGATCTGTCAGTACTTGCGCTGAATTGAAACAATCATCCACTTCTTCGCGAACGTGTACACAAATTTAGCCCGACAGTTTTTGAATATTCCCAAGGGCTGCCGAAGTACGTCTGTAATATGGTAATTCTTCTTATCTGTAGATAATTTGTTGTTTGCTGCTAGGTTAACAAGCAAATATTATAATGACTGAGTAAACGGCGGAAATGATCATGAAACTTTTGATCTTAAACAAGTTGTAACTTCTGTCTTTTACCTCCATCTTTTCATGGAGCACGGACCTGAGCTACATAGGCATTCTGTAATGACAAAATTAATAGCGGCGCCAATATGGGATGTGTTACAAAGTCATGTAGCATAGGGCCATTCCAGTTTATATCTGCACGCCCCTCCCTGTTGATGAGTTTGTGTGTTTACTTCATACAGGGTATAATTTCCATGGGTGTATAAGTCATACAAAGTTTTATTTCCAAATTACCATACAGTAATGGAAATCCAAAACTATAGTTCCTACTTATGGTATTGATGAGTTCCATTGTGCCACCATACAGAGTAGGATTTCCAAATATAACTCATCATATGCTAAAGTTCAAAATTTTATATTTGATAATGGAAATCCAAACTAGTCCTGATTCACGGTGTTGATGAGCTCATTCGTGCCACCATCCTTATCTAATTTCAGTAATAAATATTTCATACTGGCCCAATATTTTACCATATGCAGTCAGAATTCCAAGTTTTTTTAGTCATACTGTTGGAAATCCAACCTTATCAACCGGTATGTGGCGAGATAAACTAGGCCATATTTTATTTAGTAACCATAACTGCCTGGATTTCCAGGAATTTTTTTTTCATACTTGTGTGGATTTCCAGATTCTGTTTCTCCATGTACACTAATACAGTTGGAATTTCAGGGTATTTTCCCCATCATGCAGTGCTTGAAATCCGACCACATCAACCGGGGGGGGGGGGGTGCAGTGCATGCAGATATAAACTGGAATGGCCCATTGATAATTTATGTTTATTTCAACAATAGTGTTCGTCTGAAATGCCGTTTGCCTTATCATGTACATTCGCCACCCTTGTATCGTTGAACTACGATCTTACACATACGCTTAGGGTGCTGTCATGCACGCTGCTATCAACAATTTAAAAAAATATTCACTGCCCAGCGTTCACACTTTCACTCTCACAAATGCTGCTACTGATACATGGCAATAGTAAAAATAACAAGTTTGAGATGATGCATCACTGCATGTGGCAAAAACCTGATGACCGACAGCAGCCACTTATTAAAATCTGCCGTATGATGCCTTCAATAAGTTCTAAGACTTTTTTCATAGGGACACTTTTTTTCTCAGACAGGCACGAACTCCAGTCCCCTTCAAAGTACTCCCTTGCAGATGCAATGCACTTGTTGTATCATTTCACCAACCTCTGGAAGGCCCCCTGTGGAAGTCCTCTGGTGTGAACATGTCAACTACTTTTCTCACAGCCTCTTTCAACTCCTCAATTGTCAACTGCCTCTAAGGTTTTTGTGTAGCTTGGGGAACAACCAAAAGTCGCAGGGAGAAGGTCAGTGTTTTAGGGAGGGTGAGGAACTGTCTTTATGCCCATCTCGGTCAAATAGTTGAAAACACAGATGGAGTTGTGATCGACTGGTGCCTGGTAGAAATGCAACCCTTAGGACAAACTTCGCACAAATCCTATGCATGTTGAGTTCATTATGAATACTCAGTGTGCACGGTTTCCACACTGACTTCAAACTCTAAAACTGTTTATTGTCTCCAGCGACATTCCTCATCCATAAAAGTATGAATTTTCCCCACCTGCTTTGGTGTTTTAACTTCCACACCTGTCATCGTAATGAGTGCAAAATTTAGTTGAAAACACTTGGCCAAAAAGCATGACATTCAGAAGTTATCAAAATCCATTGCACTGTGTATCGACTAAACTATTTATTGTTGTGCTGCAGTAAATTATGTCCTCCATTGCTGTTTCAAATTCTGCTTTGGGTGCACTCAATGCAACTAACTTTAAGGAAGAACATACATGTAACATTCAATGTTTACAAAGACACTGTAGCAATATAAGTAAAATAGCCATCCATATTCAGTGAGGGAGGGACAAAATTGTGCAGGAAACAACTCCAAAATGTTTAACATTGAATATGGATTTTGTAATACTGATTCGTCATTGATAATTGAAGAAAAATTCCTGAGTGAATTCAGTGTCTTGATGGTACAGTAAATGCTGAAAAACTCAATCACAATTAAATGTATGCAACTGTATGCTTAGTGATGTTCTGTTTTTGGCTTGGCTATTGCTTTTTCTATACACATAAATATGCCCAGTCCCCAGGTAAATTACATACCCACCATTATTGCTGCTTTAATTCTTTCTATGCATTGTGTTTCTTGTATTTTACAGTTGAGCAAGTGGTTCCTTGTACACCTAGATGTTACCTGAAAACAATCCAAGCTAATGGAGATTTACAGCCCAGTAGATCCCAACTGTATTCAGCAAGACTCAATGTTATCAGCTCACCAGTAATACCGGAAATTAACTCAAGACAGTTTAATCTCTTCGATGGTGATGAAATATTTGTTTGAATATATTGGTATTACCCGGTACTGGAAGAATGTGCTGTTGCATCCTTGCTAACAGTGTCTTGCACCAAACATTTTGTTTTTCCAATGGAGATACAAAAATGGAGATTTATAAGCAGCTAGAACAAGAGCAATTTAGATATGTATTACCACTAACATCTTTAGTCTTGCGGACAATGTTTTAGACACTGATATCTGAACAAATTAGCCTGTCAGGTAGTTTTGTAATATATAAATTGAAAGTATGCAAACAAAACTTCAGATGTAAGAATTCATTCATGACCATGAATCAATCACACTAGTGATGAAGTCAGATTTTCCACCCATTGTCTGTTTAATTAATACTCAGAAATTCAGAACCAATCATTATTCTTTTGAAATCCCTAATTATGCAGACATTATATTCTTAACAGCTATTGACAACTACAGCTATTGCTCCTAACTACATTTTTGCCTTGCCCGTAGTGTAGTGTAAACGAAGGGGAAGGTATAGTAAGGGGAAGATTTCGGCGTTGTTGTTGTTGGCGTGACTTGTGGGTGTGCTAACTCAAGTAATTTGTACACGATCGGTTTCAAATTTACATATGTTTTAAATAAATATGCAAAGATGGCCAAGTTTGATGTTGGTGTTATTTGCTTGCATAATTAGTGAGATATGGCTACTGATTGGTTATCTTTTGTGGGTGCGATAACTCAATAATTTTTACATGATTGATTTCAAAGTTATATATGTTATAAACAAAGGTGTAAGGATAACCAAGTTCAATATTGGTGCACTTCACTTGCATAATTAATGAGATATGTAGTAATTATTTTTTCAGTTAAAACGTAATTGTTGTGAAAGCTTTGTTCAGTTAAAGGGGCACCTTCCAGTTAAGCCTAATCTCACAACAAATTTACTCTCTGGATTAAAATAACAATGGATAACAAAAGATAGATTAACATTGTAAACAACATAAACAATAGTGTCCCATGATTCTTTGGTGTAATCCAAGGGATTGAGCGGGTCCCCTTTAAAGAAATGTAATTTTAGTGTTTTGAAATTCAATCTTCCTAATCTGTATCAGGATTTAACAAGAAAATCTATGGTGTAATAGTTGTTTTGAAATCCTTTGGAATTTTCCATTGTTGTGTGATTATGTATACATTTTCATCTTATTGAAAAATGCCTTTGTTTTTACTCTAGTTAATATTTGACCTTTGTGTGCAGTCACTGTATGGTAATTAATTCTGTTCAAAGTTTATTTTCAAACACATTTGTCAGTTTATACTTTGAGCAGTAATCTTCTCAATTAACCTGCATTGGGTTAATTTTGTACTATGTGTATCATTTCATTTCCATTGTGTGATTTGAGTATGTTTTTTTATTATAATGAGGGCCATCTGGAGTTTATTATTAGAAAATATTCAGACTATTGAGTTAACTTTTCACAATTATATAAGTGTCATTCCAATATTATCATTATTTAGAATGCCTCAACCTAAGAAAAGTTTTAGACTAAAACGCGAACAAAATCGTAAATACTGTACATGTAGGAAAAATGAGCATGCAAGTCACAGCCTCAACAGTACAGTGAACAACAAAACCTTGAAGTAAGTAGTGAAGTATTTCCTCAGTCAGGTAATCATGTAGAATTAGATGTTGTTACCCGTGAAGTTGATAATCTTATGGATCAATTAATGAACAAACTTAACAGACTAACGAATCAAAGTGAAATATCTTCAAATGTAATGCAATTACTAAATCAGTTTCACCTGTATCAAAAGAATATTGTGAGTACTGATTGGATAGTTGTTATAAATGAACTCCCTGGTGCTGGTTTACAAAACCTTGGCCTTGTTATCAAAATGTTATATACAAGTATTAATACATACTCCAGCATTTGCAAGCTACATTCTTAACAAATCAAAAACCCATCAATGCAGAAAATATAAAACACCATCTTGTTTGTTATGTGAATGGGAATCATTTATAATCCACATGTATTTGGGTAACAACAGTTTTAATAGTGCAGCATGGTTAGGGACGACGTCAAAAGATCGATGTCGGATAAAAAACTTATTTGCTTTAGTTTGGGGGTTAGGGTTAGGGTCCAATCATGGACAAAAATAACAGAAAATGAAAAAAAGCACATCCAAGACGAGAAAATAGTTTGGTCTGAGTGTAAAATCTTTTTACACCCACCCGGCAACCAACTGCTATGCCATAATACTGTCCGATTATCAATTTGTATTTAATGGTGAATGTAGTCTGATGCCATGGTTATTTTCAGTGGGGGGTAGGGGGGGGAACTAAAAAAATTAAGTTTTTTATCCTACATTGAACTTTTGATGTTGTCCCTTACAGAAATACATTAAAAGTAGAGAATTATTTAATCCTCTTGTAGAAAATGATGCCCATGAGTTTCTTGTGATTAGATTATATTTGATATATTAGAACAATATGACGTAAACAGTAATAATATGCCAGTACAGACTTTACAAAGTATATTTATGGTTATCTATAATAACACATATAAATCAAAACACTGTGCATATCAGAATGTTAGACTTGAACCATTCACTGTTTTACAACTTCGTATCACATATTCTAGTAATAATGAACCAGTTTCTATTTCAAATTGCCTTAATGATTATTTTAATGAAAAAACAATACATGAATATTTGTGTAGTCATTGCAACAAAGTGCATGACATTGTAAAAAATGTGACCAATCAAGTATTACCACCATACTATGTTATACAGTTGAAACGTTTTTCAAATTTAGGGAATAAAATAAAGACACCTGTCAGTTATTCAATAAATTTAAACATGTCTGAGTATGTAAGCAACAGTTACTATGGTTATACTTCATACAAGTTATATGGTATAATAGTACATCAGTCTAATCCATTACATTACTATGCCTCTGATTATAACTGGTAGAAATTTAATGATGATAGCGTAACACTTATTGATATCGAAAAAGTTTTAAAAGAACAGGCTTACATGTTATTCTATCAGTTTGATAGAAATAATTTTTATGAATCTACCAATTACAGTCAAGAACCATGTCACATAATTAGTTGGCAAGATTTATCTAGTGATGTGAAAGATCAGGTTCAAAATAAGACTGATGTTAGTTCATCTCTTCATTATATGTTACATAGGCAAATAGGTGATTTTCCGTACAATTGCGAGATGCATGAAAGACGCGCGTCGAACGTCTGCCGCAAAAATCGAACGATTTGATTTTGAACTCGAATTTCTTTATTTCGTAGCTCACATCGAACCGGCCGATCTTCGACAGAGGAATATTGCTTCCGAATACCCTCACTTAATCGAAATTGCCTATCATCAAATGTGAACAGCACATTATTAAGCATGGAAATGTCCCCCAAAATACTTTCGCGTTTGTCGAATCCCACGCGATGTTTGACGCCACCCTGCTATGACCTTTGTTTGTCCTGTTTTTACGTTCGATTTCACGCATAACACGTGATTCTCGCAGTGAACGGAAAATGGTCTATTGAGCTTGAAGAAATAAAAAAGAGGCATGTGAAAGCTGGTGTTATTGATCAATAGAGGGAATATACAAAACAATATATGAAACAGAAACGTATAAACCAATGTTAACATTTAGAGAAGGAGACGAATGCAATGAGGTTACATCACAAAATCAACACCCCTTTCACAAATGTATAGCTTAGAGTGATATTTGGTAGTAAGAAATGAGTCACCATGCAAGTGATTAAATATACAACATAGATATATAGCATATTCGTTGTGCTTTCAGTGTCAACATTTGGCAATGACTGTTACAAATTGACACTAGCTTATAGCATGAAGGTATACCTCCATGCTTATAGTTACTCTGAACAGTAAGCAAACTTGCCAACGTTTACTAACAAAAAATTGTGCATTGTTTTATAGTTAACAGCTGGCTTTTAAAAGTCAAAGTTGAAAATCTATTTTAAAAGTCAAGATTATTTTATTTTAGCTTATGAGTTATTAGTAAGTAAATATAAATATGTCAGTAAATAAATATATTAAATAGACTGTACTTGTAACATACGAGTTGTTAGTAAATAAAGATAAACAACCGTACAAGGTAAAAGTAACAGGTTATGTATGCAACAATAAGAACTTGATTGATAAAATATAAAACATGTGTACAAACAACTTCCAGGGCTGAAATTGTTATAGATGTTCCTTCCCAACCTATTATAATAACCAGAGAGACCAGTGATGTAGAGGGGCCACTAATAATTAGAGTACATTCTAAAATTGCTTTTATATCCACCTTTAACTATTATTATGGTATCTGAGGAGATGCCCACCGTTTTTCCTCTCATCAATGTTGTCCATGTAAAATTGGTACACACTATATACATATAAAAAGTTGTATTCAGCTAATAGAAGTCTACCAAATGCACCTACAATATCAAACACCAAAGCGAAAATGGCGAATTAGAGATACTGTTACAAAATAAACAACTCTGGTCAAGGCAGGTGCATTCCAAGGATGCATGGTAACAATGACACAGACATGACCTTACAAATAAAAGCAAGGACTTTCTTTTTTTAAGCAATCGTGGTGTATTTGGAAATGTCAGACACTGGGGTATTTAGACACTTTTACTAAACTTTATCTAGGCTACAAAAATTTAGCCAACTCGAAATATAAAAGGTGTGTTAAGTCACTGAAAAATATTGCTGTGATTGGCATAACAACATTGAGTCGTGAAACAACAAATTAAAATTCCTCATGTTCACAGTAAATACAGGGTGTGTTGGTTTCTCATACAAATAATACAATAGTTCCAGGTTCGCCTTTATATATCTTACTAACATAATTTTAGACATTTCTTATAATTACTATACACTTGCAATACTAAATTAATTGATAAAAAGAAACAAGATGGTTTGCCATTAATACACTTGAGGTCATTTCCACTGTGCCATTATTTCCAAATTTCATACCAACTAGAAAAGCAACTAGGCTGTTAGTTTTTGAAAACAAGTGCAAGATTGTATGCATGTGGGTATATAATTACATATTTGTTTTGAAAAAAAGTGTTAATATAGCTGCCTGTAAATTGTGTTTGGGACAGGAACTAATTGACGGAATCAACAAATTATGCAAGAAAAACTTGACTTTTAATATGACTGAAAACGCAAAGATCAAAGCGAGCAATAACTTTTAGATATTGGATGATTTTGACTTATTACTTATACATTGATCGAACCACAGTGCCTCTATATGATAGATCTATATGATAGAGGGACTGTGATAAATAAGACTTCCCCAAACGTATGTACTGTATTTTGTCCTGCATTTGTTATGAGGCAATCTAATGACTTTATTCCATGTCGTTTCTGTATTATTACTATTTTTGTTATTCCATTGTGAAATATAATAAATTGCTTTTCTAAAACTTGACTAACAGTATTGCAGATAAAAAGTAACACCGCTCTTGTCAACAGTGGAATACCCCATTCCGCACGGTTACAAACATAACTTGCTTTTTTTTTTTTAATGTGCGAAAGTTAAAAGGGTACGTCACAATATATCTGTAGGGGTTCTAGGTTCCCGTGTGTAGGAGACAGCAAAAACTCGATGATAGTGTCTGGCACAATAACCGTGTATGGGATTACTAGGATCATGGAGCTCCATGCTAGGAACTAGTACATTAGCACTGCGTGCATGATGTATGGTGCAACCATACAATATTTCACAAGTATAAATTATAACAGACAGTTTAATTTCATTTATGCTCACCAAATCGGAGATTAAAGATCGTTCTGATCAAATAGCATTATATCGTTTCGTTTATTACTAGCTGGCAGGTGTTTCAACCCTCTTTAATATGTGAAGTGTTAACTGTCTGGCGCGCCTCTTAACAAGATCAGACATCGACAGACGGCAAAGCTTTATCGACAGACGGATTTGTCACATTTGCATGTCAACACATTTTCACACCTTGCCGTCTAAACTGTGTTGGTTGAAAAACAATACAATTCGGTGTTCTGTAAGTAAGTTTGGCTCCACAGTGGCGGGTTACCTGTTGTGGAATTATTATTTTTTTGCTATGTTTAAATAGCTATAGAATATATGGAAATTAATTAATGCATTACTAACAATGGGTACGAGAAACACACCTCAAATAACTACTCGATCACGGAGAAGTTACCGCCACATTTATTTAGTTTTTGAAAGGTGTCAAGATAAACAATGAATAAGAAGTCTAGCAATAATGTGACCCAGACAGTAACGATAACAAACACTGGCCTTATATAAAGATGAGACTGGCTGCATTGCAGTATAGGACGAGAAAAGCTAGTGTGTGCCTCACTTATCTACTCTACTCCATCACTACTACGTACGCTATGGCTAGGACACATCTCATTATTCTCATCAACTCCCTAGTGTGTGTAACACAGGCATTGCCTGTACATATTGCGGATCAGCAATTTATAAATTCTGTTTCTGAAAGAATGGGAATAGATGGCAGGAATATTGGTATTTCAACCAATGATGTCTCTGTTCCCGCACATATGCGTCTCAAATACTGGTCGTTAGCGATGAAACATAAACGGTTGTCGAGAGAGAAGCGGTCCAGGTTTAATCTTCCCACGTTCGCCAAAGTGATACGGGAAAATGAAGGTGGGTAAGACATTTGCAATATTCTATATGTTTATACTAAAATGCGTTAATTAATACACGTGTGCTTTTAGACTAAACTCATTAATAATCCAACACCATCGTAACTACATTATGCAATGGCTGACGTTGCATGGCAACAGATATGTGGAACAGTTCGTTATAGTATATAGTATAGTATATTTTATTTGACACTAAATAATATATTTTGTTACATTATCTGTGGTCAAAAGACATTAAATATAATAAAACACAAGTACACACACGAGACAAAGAAAATACATAAATAACTAAAGTCTAAGTAAAATTACTTATAGTAAAATAGTATGCGGTCAATAAATTTGCTAGCACTATTGGCAATGAACCCATCTCTCGAACTTAACATTTTTGTAAACATTTGTTGTTTTGATAGTTTAAGGATACTTTCATTATAAATGCTAACTACATTCAGAAATTCAGTACGAGCATTTGTTATTCCAGTATGGTTACAGTCTAAAAGTGCATGGATTTCATTGCCAATAGCCCCATTGTTACAAAGTTGGCACTTTCTTTCCTCTGGAGGTATCCCTTGATATCTAAGTTTTTCAATTGGTAGGGTATGTGCAGATATCCTAAATTTGGTGAAGCTGGTTCTATGTTGTGCATTTTTTACTTGATTCAAATATGGTTCAAATTTATATGTAGGTTTGAACTGAGTGTATGTACGTAATTTATTGTTTTGGGTTGTCTGGACTGTTGGTAGCCAAACTTTTTCAACATAGATTTCTTTTAATTTTGACTTAAGCAGA